GGGGGGAATGTCTCAGTAAAGTGGCATGGCTGCTCTCCTGTACAATGTTTGCAGTGTGCCAGCTGCACCCTTTCCTGCCAGAATGTCCTATGTTGCTAAGAGTCAGACAGGGAGATGTGTAAGGGACGTACACATCTACCCACCCAGCTCTTAGCAACCTAGGACGCTCTGGCCAACGTGCCACCCATCTCTTGGCAACCAGTTATGTCACTGGCATTACCCTGTGTGGTGTCTCACGCAGGGTCACGCCTCATGCTCTCCCCTATCTGCTCTGCAGGAAGAGTTTGTTGCATGGTGGGGCAGGGGGAGCACAAGAAAATGTTTGCCCAGCGTCCAATCAATATTAACGGCCCTGCTTATTATGCATACTTACATTGGTCCAGCTTGGCTCAGTGTAAGTACGCATATGCCATACATGATCATCCTGCAGGGATCCGGTAAAACACTGTAGTAGCTGTAGCTACTACAGTACTGACAGTGATCCAACGAGTCCTTATGGGGTTTTGTTGAGCAGTTTCCCCTCTGCTCTAAAAACAGGGGGTCACTCGCTCAGGACAGCGGCCTTATAGAGAACACCTAGTATTTTTAGCAATGAATACAAAGTATTTTCTAATTGAATGAGGGGCTGTGACATCATGATCCACCTCTTGTCCAATAAGTGTTCCATCCTACTGCCATGAGTCTAAAGGTGGCCATACACTCTACAACCATTGCAAGACTTTAGTCTTGCGATGGTTGTACAGGGATTAAAAAAACGTACGATCTGCCTATCTTGGACAGGCATATCGCACTCTCGATCATCGCAAGCCCGCCCCCCTGAGGGGCGGGCTTCCGATGACCGCAATGCTGAACGGGCAGTGTGCGCGTGCGCACACCGGCCCGTTCGGCATTTGTCTTCCGAGCACTGTTCTAACCAGCCGAGAATCGTACGATTCCCGGCTGGTTTTCGAACATGCTGGTTCGACGGAAGACGTGCGACCGTACAGTAGAAACGGTCGCACGTCTGCGTTCACACTGCTCGATTCTCGTACGATCGCGGGATTTCCCGCGATTCTCGTACGAGAATCGAGCAGTGTATGGGCACCTTTAAGGTACAGTATTCCTCAAGATCAAGACAGAGGGAGTGTCAGCGACAGCGATACTTCCGGGCAAGGAAATCAGTGGTACTTCCTTTAGGGCCTGTTCACATGAGATCAGGTCCTGATCAGGTGCAGATCTGCAGACTGATGCAGTGCGTTTTTGCCACATTTTTGATGCGTTTTTTTTTTGCTGGAGTGGGGCTGTTAGTATGTTAGCTGCAGTGCAGTGTGTTTTTGATGCGTTTGCGTTTCCGGACAACACACAGACTGCAACAAAAGTTTTAAAAAAATAAGCTACAGTCCAAAAATAATCAAGTACACACAAAAATAACAAAAATACACTGAGCACTAGATAAAAAGTAAAACTAAACATATACGCCCAAAAACTCAAACCCTCTAAATAAAGAAAACAAAAGTAGATTTTTGTTAAAGCAAATTCTGCATAAACAACTCAATATGCAAAATTTAGTGTATTCGCTTTGCTAAAGGAGACCATCCACGCTCCAAGAACGCAGTCCAGTGCCGCCTTTTCCTTCGCCGTCACTCTGCTCTACCCTCCCCTAGCAGGCTGTCAGCTTAAAGACTGGAGATTTGAATTGCACAGTGTACTAGTATTGATGCAGGCGCTAAACATTGCTCCCAGCTCAGCTGCACCACACTCCTTACTGACTCCTAACAGGATTAACTCAACTTCCACTACCCTCTCCATGCTGGAATTGTGCCTACTGCCAAGCATTTCTTTGCCATCCTGTGTTATACTTGCCTAATCGCTCAACATACTCGGATCAGCGGTTTGGCCTCATTCTCTGCTCTGTCACGAAGCACTTGGAGTATTTAAAGTCAGCTCACTACATCCCTACAACCCCTGCAAGGCTTCTGCTTGTTCCTCCAGCTACTCATCACCAGCATTCCTGCAGGGTCTCGCTAGGACAGTGACTCGCGCTGACACCATCAGACGGCCATCACAACAAACAGCAAGTACATGCGTTAACAATTTAATTTGTATCGATTTACAATTCCTTTATCAATGTATATGTGCTAAACCAGTGGGTGGATAGCTGGTTCATAGGAGAGAGGTTGAGTCCTGAGAGTCAGCTGATCAAAACCAACGGACTAGTGTATATTTGAACTGTATGCGTTACCTGTCCTGTATCAGGTAATACAGGCTCACGTAACATTACAATCTGAGATTTTTCCTCTCTGGGTATATGCTTAAATCTTATAATTCCTGGACTCTTACTAACGCACACAAGCTAAAATTCATCAGGAGTCACATCCGCAGCTGAGATCCATGTGACATTTCCAAAGGATTGTTACATTGCGAGACAAATCAATTTCGTCGAAATCGCTAATTTCCTATCTAATTCACACATTTTAGTCTCCAAGTTTCAACTCCAAGCAAACAGACCAACACATGTGAACTGTTTTCCCTTACAAAGGATTTTGTAATTCTGTCCAGCATCGTTTGTGATCCATACATCTCTACCCTGGGGGGGGTATAAGGAATACAGTGGTGTTTCTCCTAGCCTGCTGATTGTCTACTGTTTCTTGTAGACAATACGATTCTTTACCAAGGAATAAAAAAAACTGTTACTTGTTTAATCATTTATTCAAAACTGATGTTTTAAAGAAAAGTTCTCTTTGGATCCTATCACATCCACATATGCTCTAAGCATTGCAAGTTCTTTTTTCTCTGCCAACAGTTCCCAGGATTAAAAGAGACCTTTCACACTGATTCTTTGGAAAACATTTCCACGTTGTTGGTGGTGCATAACTGTGAATTGACTCCCATTTGACCAGCTGTACACTGTTTCTTACTACAGTATTGTGGTACATTTTCAGAATGTTATCATGGGCCACAATAGCCTCACTACTTGTTACCCTGTGTGAAGCTTGACTTGCAGCTAAACTCTTCCCTCCTCCAAAGAACCAGACTGTATATGCAAGCCTTGTTTTATTAAGAGTACATGGTGGGGTGAAACTGGGGAGAAATAAGGAAAACAAAAAGCTGGTGGGGGTAACAAGTACAGATGCAAGTCTAAAGCTTACCAGAGATGCTACCACTAAGGAATGAGATGTTCTTCAAAGCTGACCATGTGCTAGGATGGCTGGGCTCCTACAGATTGTTCTTCCTTCACATGTGCTCCTAAAAAGGGTGTCTGGGCTTCCCAGGATACACCTGTTTCACAGAGTAGGTGCTCTTGAAGTAGGGTGAGGTAAGATGCTAAAATCATGACTTTAAAGTTAAAAAAAAAATACCCCCAATGCTGCTTTAAGGACTTGCCTTAAATGATGCCTCTTGATCTGATCTTCATCTTTTTTTCCTGTGGTTTTCAGGAGTCCCTCCAGCACTGACTCCTGTCTCTTCCTGTCCCGCTGTGTCTGTGCGGGTGCACATTGATGCATCAGCTTACCCTGTGTCTCTCCTCTTCTCCCTGCCGAAAATCTGAACTGCGCATATGCCCGCCCCATGATTCTTTGCGGCCACCCGAGAATCGGATGGGAGGGCGCAGTGGGGACAAAGGTAAGTTTAAACCTATTTGGTAGGAGTAGAGATATGCAAAAACATACAAGGCTTTAATGATCTTTTAAGAACTTCTGCTGTGAAATTTGAGGATGAATTGCTCCACAATGCCTGAAGTTAGAGAGGTAAATAAGGGTTTGCTTTAACTTTACTGCTTGCTAAGCATAGGTAAATGTCCACAGCCTAGCAACCGGTTCATTTTAAGCAGCAAATGACAGAAGGAAGGTTTCTTATTTTCTTTACATTTCAGATTTGTTACCTTCCTCTGCGTAGACTAGGATTTAACAGTTCTCAAGAACAGAATGCATTTATTGTTTTAAAAGATTCAGGTAACATCATACT